AATAATAATATGTATATTTTTATTTACTAGCTTAAAATATATTAATGTAGCTTATTCCGATATAAAAAACTTAATTTGAAGTTTATTTTTGATATCAATAAAAATATCAAAAAACAAGATCGTCTACATCATATGGGTGAGCACGATAATATTTGATTTGTTACTTGTTATCCCCTCGCCGCATTTATTAATTTTTAAAATTGCCAAATTGAATGTCGATCATAATCTAGTTCTTTTGCAAATTCTGATATATATTTTTTTAGAAGGAATAAATTCTGGATCATGATACCAAAAATTAAAGCGAAGTTGTAAATTGTGATTTTACTGGAAACGCTCCCATATAATGGAAATTTGTGTCAAGATATGAAGATCTTACCGAATTTTTTCATTATTGAAATTATTTTTTTTTTCTTTTTTTTTTTTTTTGAAATTGTAAATTATTAAAGATTAAGCAAATTTCCACCTTATAGAAAATAAATTTCAAATTTAAATTATAAGAATTGCGTCTTTATTTGTGGAAGATTGTCAATAAATAAGTAAGCAAAATTCATCATAAATTTTAAAATTCAACAAATCTTTTTTAACCTTTAAACCATTTTAAAATAGATTATAGAATTAAAGCTTTTAGTAATGCTAACAGTTCCACCCTGTCGGAAAATTTATATGCCTAACAAAAATTATATAACAAGAAAAGGTTTTGCGTAGTCTAGCTTATTAAATAGTATATCATGCATTTAAGTCTAAAGTTTCCACTTGCTGGGAATAAGGAGCTATCCTAAACTATTAAAAAAAGTATATCTATTATTTTATTATGTAAATATTGTTTTAAAAAAGAATTACAACTTAATTATAGTTTTATTATTTAGTACAACTATAATGCGAAACATTGGAAATGACGATACCTCATGAATTTATTTTGCGCTGACTGTTAATGTCAGGTAAGAACTTTTATAATAATCTTTATTTTCACGACTATATCTAATTGAAAATTTTTTTTTAAAAAAAAATTACCAGAAATATGATTAGGTGTGAATATATATAAGTATACTGTGGGAATCATCATTGTCAAGTTATTGCTCATTATTTATTTTAATCATCTAAATTTTTGTATTTTGCGGTCTATAAAATAAAATTTTTCAAAAAGCTTAAATCGAATAGTTTATTTTAATGTGAAAAAATAAAAAATTATATACTTACATGATTTGTAGTAAAATATACGATATTTTTCGTAATTTTATTTGTTATGTTATTTCATTCTACATAGTCCAGAAATCGTTGTGTTAATTTTTGGCACAAAAATGAACACTAAACGCGTACAGTAGTTTTTCATATGGTAATAAATATTATTTTTTATTAATAAGGATTGTAAAAAACCACTAGCATTAGTACTACAATATCTTCAAATATTTTTTTGGATCAGTTAGAAGAGATTCTTTTTTTAACGATTTACATCATTGTTTTAAAAATGCAATTCTAAATTTAAAAAAAAATTATTTGTCTATCGCTTTTCTCACGCATAAAGGGCAAGCACATAGCATTGTAAAAATGTCTCAGATTCATCTTGAAAAATAGGGCAATTATTGGCATTGCCACATGCACCGCATTGACCAATTGTTTCACATTCCACTTCATTATCAACATCGTATCCTATGTTCATAATTCTCAGTTACCTTTAATAAAAAAGAAAAGTTAGCGGTTAGTTAGTATAGATTCCTCAATGTCTCAATGAATCAATGAAAACTTACTTATTCTTAAGATATTTTCTTTTTTATAAAAAGGAAAGTTTGTATTTGTCTTTAATTATAACTTTCCATCAAATCTAGTTATTAACGAATTTTATTTTTATTTTTATTTTACAGATAACTTCTAATTTAATTTTTTAGCAGATTGATTGGAGAAAAAGTCGTTGATTTAGATATCTGTTTCAATTCCCAATTAAGAAATATATGTTTATTTATATACTTTTAATATAAAAATGTATAAATCGCTAACATAACGTAATTTATTTCTTAAAGTTTTTTATCTTTATGAAATCCTATAAAGCTAAACTAAGTTAAAAAAAGGATAAAGTTATGCCAACTAAAAAATATAAACATGTGTAAAAGATGTATACTGATATGAATTATCGATAACAATATTTACAGTAATAATTATAGATATTATTTTAGTTAGATACCATAGATTGTTTATTGTTATTTTCAGAATCAAAAGTTAGAAAATCGCCATAATCGAAAGTCGATTGTATTAACGATACGATATTAAATCGACAAAATCATTTGATGATGTAACTTAAATTGATTTTCGTCTGAAATTGAAATCCAAAGATCAGTTAACTGAACTGAAATGGAATTTCAATTTCAGATACTTTTTTTGCTATCTGAATTCCAACTTCAAATAACATATAAAATCAATTTTGACCCCAATATTTTTTTTAAACAGTTATTCTTTTACATGACGAATTTAAAAAATCACGAAAAAAAAATTTATAACTTTTTTTTAAAACTTTTTAAATTTATTTAAATTTCACATTTACATTTTATATTCTAATAAAGTTATTTGTATAAAAAAATATAAAAAAGTAAATTTTAAATTTAAACCATTTTTTGTTAGGTATGTCGGATATACTTAGTCGTAAAACACATTATTCCGAGAACATATTAATTATCTTGTAACGGTGTAATGCAAACGTGGCTTTTCCTTCACATTTATCTTGAAATAACAATCTCAACGAATTTGGAATTATATTGTCACCATCATGTCTTCTCACATTTTATTTTCGAAATCATCGTCATAAAGAAGATAAACTTAGCTATACTACTTCTGGGCACTAATGATAATGAGCGATTGTGTGGATCTTAATAAAATTCTACAAATGGTATGGAATAACATGAATAAATTAAGTTTCGAGATGGTGCTTGATTTTTTTTCGTTTATATATCCAATTCAGCAAGTATTTTCTCTTACCTAATTGTCAACATCGCGTTCGATATTACAAAATAATTTTTAAAAAAAATTATTTTTGCCAAATACGATGCCAAATATAATCAATCAATCTTCTTTTTATTGATTTCGATTAAATATATTAAAACTCTAAATAAAATTTTTTTTTATTTTTAGGAACTTTGGAAGTGATCGGAAAGGGTCTTCTTAAAATTCTTCTTTAAAACGTTTTTTATGTAATATGAAATATTTTAAAACATTGAAAATACCTTGTTTATATATTCAACATATTTAACTAGCTCAAAGTTTGAAAGATAATTCAATAGTGAGAATCTTTGTACTTAACAAAAAAACAAATGAGAAAGTATATTTTATATTCTGAAACTGACAGACTAAATTAGGAAATTATTTTAAAAGTTCGATTTATCTATTTTGACTGGTTACTATACTTTCGATCATAAGGATAGTTAATTTATAAAGTATTATTGAAGAAAATAAGTATGAAAGGTATAGAACCACACATGGTTTGAAACATACAATATACAATAATTAAATTGAGCTAAGTTATAAAAGTTATAGAGCTTGGCCAATTAATAATTAGCGCAGTATTTGGTGATCATTTGATTTTATTTATTCGGAAAATATTTTCCGTTGATCCAAATTTAGTTATGATAATTCCTTTTATATCCTTTTTGAAATTATAAATGTTTTTTTCTTTTTTTAAAAAAAAAATAAAATAATGGATGTTAATAGCTATGAAAATGAAGTTCAAGAATCTGAATATAACAAATTAAATGTCTCAGAAATTAATAAATGTTCTTATTGTGATGAACCATTCACAGAGAAATTATGGTGTAAAGAATGTGACCCTTGTGAAGGATGGACTAGCGGAAATTCTGATATAGATAAATTCATTAAAGATACATTGAATAATGCAAATACGAAAAAATATGAAAAACATCAATATCCAACATTTCTTGAATGGGTGCCTTTTGATAGATTCACAGATATGAAAGAAATTGGTGAAGGAGGATTCGCCAAAGTGTATTCTGCAACATGGATCGAT